TAATAAAATTCACAGAGATGATACATAAAACGAATACAAAATAAATCACATGACGAATACAATATGAAAATGGTAATACAAAAAAGGGCGCGCTAGCGTAAGTGGTGATAACACGTCGGAATCACCACAGATACCACGATCTTAGATTATTAGGTCTGGCAACTTGGTAATGAAATCCGTGTTCTTAATGACCGGACAGAGAATAGTCATGCACACGTTTCACTATCTAGCGGATTAATGCTTTTCATTATTATTTAATAACAGGGAGACTCACTGCAGCTACAGTTGTTTTACTTAGTAGCAAATAGCAGGTGCCAGGTACTACATTTCGACTTTCCAGTGTACTTACACCTATACACTCATCTAGTCAGCGTAGGCATGTATATGTTACAGCTAAAGTGTTGAATTCCGTTATTTTATGAAATAACTAGGTAGTTCATGAATTACCTACGAATATTAGTTAAAGTATGAAATAATACATGAAAATTGTACTTTAACTAGTTATTTCATAGAATATCTAGTTATTCTGTACAATTTCAGTTTGATATCCGTTAAAGTATAAAATACATTAAAATTTAAAATATATATTAAAATATTTTATTTTACTGAATTATGAATTAATTATAGTTATATTATTTATTTATTTGTACATGTAAGGCTATTATGGCATTTAGAGTTGCACAACACCTATTTTTTTCTACAAACACATCGCTTTGTGTCACATTTTTTGGTACAAGTGCATTTAAAAAAACCCTGACCAGTTCCCAGTGACTGCGCAGTTGCCGCAGATCTTAATGTAATACTTTCATTTGGAACAGCTTCTACAGCTATAAAATTTTCTGAACATACTATGAACTGGGATCGACAGTATAGTTGTTTTAACCCTCCTGTAATTATATAATGTTTAAGGTAGGTATCAAATAAATAAAAAATAAAAAATAACTTGTTTTATTTAAATTTTTCTTACCATCATTGCATCCCAGTTTATAAAACCCATCGCCAGTTAATTTTAAAACAACTGCAATAATTGAACGAGGATCACCCTTTCCTCTATCAACATCGGGAATTTTGATACGCACTGTAGAACCAATATTAGCAACCGCAAATTTAGTATTTGATAAATCTTTCATTCTTTTTGCCTGTTTTTCCAAATTTTCTTTAGCTTTTTTCCTCTCCTTAAAACATTTAATTATTTTTATAATTACAATATTAAAGCTAATTTAGCTTAGCTACACGATATAATTGACCTACCGTAGCAATATTTAAATGAACTATATCTTTTTCTGTGCCAACTGTTGGTCGATCTACGTCAGTAACGTCATCACGATAAACGATTATCTTATAATAACACTATAAACGTACATTGCGGTCACTGATAATCTGATCCGACTTGGATCATATTAAATGATGGGTTATATTAAATTGTTGAAATGTTAGAACTATATTTATTTGTCATGATATTTTGTTATTTACAATTTGACACATTAACGAAGTGATGCCAGGGAATGTATAAAATAACTAGTTAAAGTATAAATTATATACATTACCTACAAGCTTTAGTTATTTTATAAATTACCTAGTTATTTCATAAACTAACTGATTCAACACTTTAACTGTAACATATACAAGAGAGGTTTTTGTAAATTAATAGTTGTGTAATTTATTTATATATAATATAGATTATGAACCCCCCGAAATCTACTATGAACTCGAATATAATATAATATAATATCTCTCGAATTTTATTTTTGTGTACGTGCCTGAGTCAGGACTCAGGGGTGGCTCCAGAGACATGGTTGGTGGGGGGTTCATAATTTTTGGAAAACATTTGATGCCTATTATAATATGTTTTTTGTCGTAATTGTTTTTAAAATAAGTATAAATTTTTTTAGAAATATGAGCTTGGAAGGGGGCCCATGCGTGGTCTATAATTATGATTATTTACCTTACGAAAATAAAACGGTTGATTTTGTTGAAATCTTGTTTTTAGTAAAAACACAGACTATATGAAAATAGTACTTTCATATAGTCTGTGGTAAAAATTACCGTTTTTCCCGATTTTGTGAAGTACCTAGGTACTGTAAATTTTCCGAATACCTACAAATAAAAGTACAAAGCTACCAGAAACCAACATTAAAGTTAAAGATTGAAGAATTTTTCCACCTATAAAACGTGTATACATACAAACACAGAAAGAAGAACATTGTAACTCCAATATATTCATCTCCTCGCCTAAATCTTATACATAAACAAAAAATGAGTTAAAATTTATAAAAACAAAACTCAAAAGTTGTGTGTTGTTTTAGAATTTGCTACTTTAGTCCTCGTCCTATAATCATTCAAAGGCCTAATTTTAGGAAAAAAAAAATAATGCCCATAAGTTGTATTATTTATTATTGACATTAAACTTATAGATCGCCATACGTCGTTAGTAGATGGCAGTATACTAGTATTTATGAGTTGCCTGTCCCGTCAATAAGTGCACGGGTGATTATATGTTAATCTCGAGTAAAGTTGCATAGGGCTGACAGATACTATGATTATGATATCTTATAAAATCAGTAATCACATGGAAATAAATAAATAATATGATAATTTGATATCAAAATATCAAAATATGCACAACAATAAAATAAAAAAAAATTATGAAAATTTCGAATTTCGAGGTTTTTTTCTGTAGCCGACGATATTAATATTATCGGATGATATATCGATATTATCATAAATCGAAAATATCATACGATATCGATATATCGTTTACAAATATCGATATTTTGATATTATCGATACTTTTGTCCCATCCTTTTATTTATACTCTTGACCACCGTCCGTGTTACCGACTACGCCGATACCGACCGCCTTCGTCTCGACTTTTGTAAAAATAGACGATAAAAGTGTAAAATAACTCTCTTGTCTTTACGCACAAATAAATAGCCACACAACTACACAAGGCACTCCGTAATCAAACTGTGTTGCGTTCTCTTTGATTTGGTTTCCTCTCTCCTTTGTGAACGTCAACACCATCACCAACACTCTACGACCGGCTTACCGCGGACACTACTCAATCACCGCCGTAGCCGCGTCAGTCGTAACTTGTAGATAATATTATGTACCACAAAGGTTAGCCAAAATAGTAATTACTAGGGAACGGACTTTATTGTAACAAAAAATCAAAATATGTAATTAATTTTAGTAAAATATGTAAAAAAAAATTAAAAAAAGGTGGGTAAGTGGATGTCGCTCTGCTGTACTGTAGGTTACAAGTGGGTCACTGTATAATGGATGGTATTAAATTTGAATTCAATGATACAATATCATTGTATAAGAAAAACGATTCTGAGCGAAGACGGTATGTCAGTCTAGGTTTAAGACAAATTATATACATATCTATGGTATTAAAAAAAAATTGACCTATAATAAATTCCAAATTAATCATATCACATTATCACAAAAGCCATTAGGTACTTATAACACGTTATACATCAACATCAATAACAAATCCTGATACTATCATAGATATATAATAGTACACTTTAGAAGTTTCAAGTAGGTACCCATGAATAATATTATATAATCACAACAAAATAACTAGGTTTTTTAATATGTAATTTCGTCCAAATTTGAACATAAAATGACTATAAAAATCAACTGTAATCGTATATTTTTTAGATTTCTCGGTAAGAGAATTAACTACTTACTTGGAATCTTGTTTTAAATTTTCAATCCTTAGCTATAAAAACTGAACATTTTATAATTTATTAATTACGATGATTAATAATTTTCGAGATTTTGAAAAATTCTGTCAAAATTCGATGTTTAAATGCTTATAAAAAAAATTTGTGCCAATGTATTTTTAATATTTTTCAACTGATATTGTAACAATATATCAGGAGCCTTGTATTAAATTTTTACACTTTTTGGCCCAACAGATAACACTTTATTGATATTCATAGAAAAAAAAATAAAAAAATAAAAAATGAAAATAGCCGTAAACAGCTCAAAAAGAGTCATTCAAGGTAAACATTCAGTCAAATTTTCATGTATCTATAGTTATTCGTTTATGAATAACAACAAAATAAGGAAATCGCTACATGAGAAATCGAGTGAACATCCAATGTTGTAAAAATCTGAATTTCAAACGCTCATAAAAATTTAATTTGACTTTCCGGTACAGATTTTTTTATTGATAAAGGTAAATAATCTTATAAGGAATCTTGTATTACATTTTCAAATCTTAGATTTAAAAGGAAAAATTTTTACGAATTCTTAACTCAAAATAATTTGCTAATTTTCGTGATTTTTCCATATTTTGTCAATTTTTGAACTTTAAATGCTTATAAAAAAAAACTGTGACTAACGATTTTTAATATTTTTCATCTGCCTTTGAAACAATATCTAGGAGCCTTCTATTAAATTTTCAAGTTTTTTTAACCAACAAATAAAATTTTATTGATATTTCTAGAAAAAAAACTAAAAAAAATGAAAAATGAAAATGTCCCTAAACAGTTCAAAATAAATCAAAATATTTTGAAAATGTTATCGTGTATAGAAAAGGCAAACATAAACAACCAGTCAAAATTTCATGTTCCTACAGTCATTCGTTTTAAAGTTACACCAAAAACCAAATTCGATTTTGTCAAAAACCGATTTTGCGTAAAAATTCCCGTTTTACCTTAATTTTTATGTTGTTTTTCCCGGCGCTTGTGAAAACTATTGGGAATTTCGACCTCCCCAATGCACCAACGATATTCACTTTCCAATCGAACAAGATACTGAAGTCGAAAATCGAAGCATTATTTCGACTACTTATCGTGTACTAAGATACAAAAAAAAAAAAAATAAAATAAAAAAAACACACATCATTGTAAAATCAATACATTCATCGTTTCACTCAGAATCTAATATGTATATCGAAAAAATGTATTAGTAGGTACTAAAAATTACAAAAAAAAATATTTTATAAATAAAAGTATTACAAACGATGTAGGTTTATAAAACTATTATTCCGGAACAAAGCAATGAGAAACAACATATTGTTGAAGGTTTGCAAATGAAAAATTTCTACGGTTTGGTCGGAGAATACTCTTGTATTGACTAAAAGACCGTTCTACGTCAACAGATGTGATAGGGGCGTAATTCATGTTCACTATATCAGAAGGAGTGAATTCAATGTCCAGAGATCCTTGTTGATTTTTACCAATTAAAATATCTCTGATGATTTTAATAGTTTGAAATCCAGAATTTTTTTTAATGATATTTGCAAATTTGTTTTTGACTATTTCTCCCATGTGCCCTTGACTTTTTTCTAATTTATCTGCAGATTTTTCTACAATGCTAATGCTTTCTATCAAAGACATGTTTTTAGTTTTAAATGCGTAGAAACTACGAATGCTACTAAAGACGATTGTCGAGTACCTACATACTCGACAGTGTAACACTTCCTTATTTTATATTTATATCGTCAGGCATTAACAAGAGGTACTGAACTAGTTCTAATCTATATATAGTGGCATGCCAGGGGCCGGAAATAAGTACGTAAATGCCATTTAGATAACGATAATATTTGGTGGTCGTCAAAAATTACTAATCTTGTTATTTTAGACGAAACAGATAATGTTTAAAGTCCTTAAAAACTGAAAATCACTAAAATGAGTACTAAAATATGTACTTATTTACCAAATATGTAAAAATATGTATTTATACCAAAATATGTGAGAATATGTAAAATAAAATTGGGCTTATTTTAATAAGAATGATCTGAATCGTGCACATTTTTTATCAGATTAAAAATATCTCCTTCCAATAAAAATATGTATTTACAATAAAATCCGTTCCCTAGACTAATTACAAATAAACAATATTTTAGACCTAAAAAAAACAGAATATTCTTATTACCCCATATAGGTACATTAATCTACAGACAAGTTAACGAGTATAGGTTACCGAAAACAGCAATCAATGTAAATCTGTAATTTAAAAATACAAAAATATAATAATATTTTGTATTTACCTCCTTAACATGTTCTATGACACTATTATGTCACCAATAAATGTTATTTTCTATGGGGGTTATAATAGATATTAAGTATGTATTAGTTTTCAACTTTTATTAAACGTGTATTCTAAAGTTATAAGATAACTAAAAAACATGGTGTTGTCCGAATTCACCCCTCACGTCCGAAGTCACCCCTTTTTACGGTAGTCATTAGTACAAGAATCTTTGGTTCAGACATTTTTAAGGGCCCCCCCCGTCGGACAAAGTCTGCGCACGCCTATGGTACCTATAAATATCATTGTATAAGAAAAACGATTCTGAGCTGAGACAGTTTGTCAGACTAGGATATTTGATAGTATATTTATATTGTACCTATTATTAATAAGGTAGCCGGTTGAGTTGAATTATTATTATTTGTCTATCATGATATTTCAAATGCCAACGAATAATATTCAGAAATATAACACAAAACTAAAATCGTTCTGCTTAGTTTAATATCTAATAATTAGAATTATTCATCCAAATTTGAACATAAAATAACAATACAGAAGATAGTGTTTTTATATTTTATGGTTACAAAATAACCTAATACCTACGTGGAATCTTGTTTTGAATTTTCAATCCTTAGCTATAATAGTTGATAGTAAATCATTTTTAAAAGTTCAATTATGCCCATGTATTTTCAATATTTTTTAACTGCCATTGCAATAATATATTAGAAGCCTTGTATTAAATTTTCGAGTTTTTTGACCCAACGATAATAACATTTTATTGACATTTATAGAAAAAAAAACTAAAAAAATTGGAAACTGAAAATGTCCTTAATAACAGCTCAAAACAAATCAAAATGAAAATTTTATCGTGTAAAGAACATGCTAAGATAAACATTCAGTGCAAATTTCATGTATCTACGGTCGTTTGTTTTAGAGTTACACCAAAAAGTAAAAACCAAAATCGATTTTGCTTAATACTGATTTTGCCTAAAAATTACCGTTTTTCCATAATTTTTTTTTGTTTCACCCTCAACTTTTCAAAACTACTGGGAATTTTAAACTCATTGATCCCTCAATGTACCAACTAGATTCACTTTCCCATCAAACAAGATACTGTAGTTGAAATTCTAAGCATTATTTCGACTACTTATCGTGTACACAAAAAAAGTTTTTAAAAAAAAATGAGTACCTATAGGTTACCGAAAACAGCAATCAATGTAAATCAGTAATTTAAAAATACAAAAATATAATATTTTGTATTTACCTCCTTAACATGTACTATGACACTATTATGTCACCAATAAATGTTATTTTAGATATGTTAGATATTAACGTGGAGTATCAGTTTTCAACTTTTATTAAACGTGTATTCTAAAGTTATAAGATAACTAAAAAACATGGTGTTGTCCAAATTCACCCCCTTTTTACGGTGGTCATTAGAACAAGAATTTTTGGTTCAGGCGTTTTTAAGGGCCCCCCCTGCGGACAAAGTCTGCCCACGACTATGGTACCTATCAACAATGTATAATACTCAATATTAAAAACTTACCTGGTTTTTCGGCATTATCTTCCCGTGGTCTAAACATGTTCGATGACATTTTAAATTATAAATGCATGTTGGCGGTAGTATCCGGCGAGTAAAAATATTTTTTTGATAAGAAACTTTTCGGCCGTAATGTACCGTGGGATTGTGTGGATCGTCGCTCAACCATTCTATGTTAAACCGTGATAAAGAACTCAGCTTAAACCAGGGTTTTTTTTAATGATTTTTTCTGACTGCACAAACTTATTCCCACTCTTGGGTTATAGTAGGAAATTTGTCTATGCAGACCAAACCCTGCGGACTGTTATCCTTTGAACTATCAGGGATGGCTCCAGAGGGGCCCTAGCCTCCCTCCCCCCAAAGCTATATTTCTAAACAATTTTATAATGTTGAAAACAAAATTACAAAAAAAAATCACCGACATTTTCTGAAAATTATGCCTTGGTCACCCCCTAATCATGTCTCTGGAGTTGTCCCTGTGAACTGTGCCGGCTATACTACCTAGTACCTATACTAAGTGAGTACTAACCTACTATCTACTGTATACTGTACTATCTACATTTTTTACTTTCATCAAACTGCATATAGGTATTCAGAACCTAACCCACTTACCAAATAAATCATTTTATACTAATGCACTATTTTTATTGTAAATTTGTAAATAATAATTTAAATTTTATTTATAAATATAAGTAATAATACATACTAAGTAATATTTACTTGGAATAGGTAATTAGTAATAATAATTGTTTATAAAAATAAAAACAATCAATTGACTTGGTAGGTACTTAACTATCGTATATATAATTAAATGAGAAAATAGAGCATTTGATGTCAAAATGGAGCTAGTATTCTAGAAAAGAGTTTGGTCAAACATTTATAGATTATCTAGATCCAAAAAACTACAACTTAATGTCAGTAAATATAAAAAGGGACGTATTCTATTGAGAATGGAATCGTATAACTATAGAAATGAAAAAAAAATTCAGATTTGGTTATTTCCAATTGGCAATTGAATAAATAATAAGTAATACATATATTTAACTGCTGTAATTTTAATATTAGTTATAATTTTATATAACAATCTACCACCACTAAAAGCATGTGCTTAAAGGTGGTAGATATTTTATTTTGTTTTAAAAAAAAAAATCAGTATAATAATGAATAATATAAACAATATTTAATTTTAATAGAAACATTTTTTTTTTTTTATCCTGAAGTTTACTCAATTATTGTTGTATGGTATACAATAAAATATATCACCCTAAAATTCTTTCTTTGCACTGCACAGAGTAACAATTTACATTGCACAATTACTTTTCTCACTGCACAAAATGTGTCTCACTGCACACTAAAAAAAAACAATTGCTTAAACGTACCCACACGCACACGTTTGCGGTTTGCAGCTCCTCGCTTATACATGAGTATTTAGAATATTGCACAGACGACGGCTGCCGGTCCTCCAAACACTGCTCGTGTGTACATGCGTACCCAAAATAATATTATGCTCCCGGTATCTGAGAGAAACAAATTTAATATGTTCGCACACGACAAAATGTAATAGACAACTAATTATGTAGAGTAGTTATAGACTAACTAGATGACTAGTAGGTAATTTATAACTACGTACTAAATAGTAGGTGATGTGATATATATTAATAAATACGTAACTATATTTTGTATGTTTAAAGTAAAATTTTAAAAACATTATAAGGGGTGTGGGGGTTGTGGCCCCCCACGATTTCATTAACTCACCATTTCAACGCATACTCTGAGCTGAAACCCACGCTACGCCACTGGTGTTAACCCTTACTTTCATGATTATGTACGAGACCCTGCAATTACCTAATTACATGTACAACAAAAAACTAAGATTCTTACAAGATAATTGATTTACCATGACGTGTGCCTCATATTAACTAGATATTATGTTTGCAAATTAGTATAATTTTGCATATAATACATAGCACATCGTGTAGAGTCTTCCAGAAGTCAGAACAATACTCGTCTTAGTAAAGCCAAGTAAAAACCATTTCGGGTACAATTTTGAAAATATTTTGACTCTTTTTGAGCTGTTTACAGACATTTTCAGTTTTAACAATTTTT